ACACACCTATATGTATGTATGTGCATGTATTTATATATGTGTGTGTATATATATAGATGTGTGTGTGTATACACACACACACACACAGAGTTATATACAGATAGGTGGTGCAGTGGATAGAGCACCAGACCCAGAATCAGGAAGACATGAGTTCAAATTCAACTAAAACATTTACTAATTATATGACCCTGGGCAAGTCACTTAATCCTGTTTGCTTCAGTTTCCTCATTTGTAAAATGCCCTGGAGAAGAAAATGGCAAACCACTCCAGTATCTTCACCAAGAAAACCACGAATGGGGTTACAAAGAGTTGGACATGACTGAAACAACTTAAGAACAACAAATAGACATACATACATACATATATACATACACGTGTGTGTGTGTGTGTGTGTGTGTGTGTGTGTGTGTGTGTGTGTGTATTCCAAGAGGCAGAGAGAACTAACCAAGACAGGGTCGGACAAAGCCTGTGCAGGAGGTAACCTATGTCCAAGGAAACCAGGGATTCTAAAATATTGAGGTGAGGAAGGAAAGTATTCCAGATCTGAGTGAAAATCTATGTCTAGGGTAAGGATTATAAGAGGTATTCAAGGTTTAAATCAAGATAATTTCTGCCACATTAATAAAAAAAATTTCCTCTTTTACATTTACATCTCAAGTAATCAGAAAACACTTATTAAGTACCTCCTTTGTGTCAGACACTATGTATCCAAGACCCAAATGAAACAATCCCTGCCCTAAAAGAGCTTATATTTCTCTGGTGCCCATCAGTTTTTTTAAACAATGATGAAGTTAAAAGAATTCTCTTTCCCAGTCCTGATTTGGATGACTAAAAACCAATAAAGTCATCAAATTTCACTGAGAATAATATCTGCACAGATAAAAATTCTCCTATATAACAGATTATAAAGCTTATGTCAATGTTTATAATAAAATATTTTGCAATATAAACAAGTTTGTGCAATGGCTTAAGGGGGGGGACCTCTAAATTTCTATGTAAATTCTAAATTGTCATGAACAACCAAATCATAGAAGAAAAGCTGTGTTCCTGAATGACATTCATAGTAAAGCTCAAAAATTCTCCTATTTCTTCCCCATTTAGCAAATTCATTTATAGAGTCTGTGATACATAGGAAGGTAAGGGGGATCCTAGTGATGTCTGGCCTCCATTTCCTGCTTATGAATTTTGTATCCACTGAATTAATTAGCCACCTGAATTAGTTTTATTTTTTTTTGCAATTACTATGGTTAATTTTGAATTTCCTCTCATGGTTAACACAATTTTAATATAAAAAGAATGGCACAGAGAGCTAGTTTACCAGATCATCAAAAAGATATAATGGTACTCATTTCTCTTTAACTGGTTCCATGTATTTCCATCTATATCAGATTTTCCTTATTATCTATCACTTCTTGTTTCCTACATAGAATCAATGTTTTCTTCGACATGCATTGCAAATGACTCAGAATCATCCATCTTGAAAGGTGTTAGAAGATGCTACCTTTTCTCACATTTCTCTTCCCTCAAAGGCACCAAACATCATTCTCTTATTCTTGCCTTTATTCATTTAAAATCATAGAATTCTAAACTTGGAAGGAACCTCAGCAACCACCTAGCTCATCCTATGTCCATCGATCCAATATCCCCACTACAATATACCTATTAAGAGTAAGCCTAATTCAGGGTACCTGCTAGTTAAGGTTCAACATTGGGTGAAATGAAGCACTCATAAGTCGTTGAACAGTAAAGGAGGTTTACTTAGACCCATGGAAGCAAGGATATACAGCAAGGATATATAGTAGCACTTGCCTTCTATAGACATAACTTTCTTCCTCTCCATATGGAAACAGGCAGGAGGCACAGTGTGGCAACTGTCTTCTGGTATTCAAATCTGAGAGGCACCAACCCAAGTGGATGGGACCTTCCATATCCTTAGGTGACCCACAAGCTAGGTGAGTCCTCCAGCAAGCTGCATCAAGGGAGGCACAGCTTAAGTCTTGCATCATACCCAGGCCAGTCAAGTCCCTGGCTTTGTTACTCCAAGGGTCTAATCCCAAGTTTGTAGTGGAGCCATCTGTTAAATTTTCAATGTGAGCATTTATTCCTTGGAAATTGGCAAACTGCTAAAATCGCAGCTTGATCTATTACATTACTGACTATTGAGACTTAAGAAAGTGAGGGAAAAAAATGTTAAAAATGAAGATTAAATTTAAAAGTGTGTTCCTGTGTACATTTTCCCCAAAGACAGTCAGTTATTAACCATTTACC